GTTTCTTGATAGGTACTCTCACAAAGTCGACAAGATATATCACTGTAACGAGACAAGACTGCCCTCATCTCACTAATGTCAGAGCTAGACGTAATTGATCCATACGGACTGACACATCCACACAGAGAAGGGTTTACATGGTTCTCAAACAGTAGGAAAGAAGCAGAAACCATAAGACGTCGTTTTGATTTTGTCCTGATATCATCTCCAATGTGGAAATCGGTAACAACAATCACAAAACGAAGTCACCCGATGTCTGATCACCAACCGGTTCATCACACGATTCAAAATCAGGAATCAGTTAGAAGTCCGGGTCAGTTTCGTTTCAACACAGTAAACATAGAAGACCCGGGTTTGGTCCATTGGATGAAGGAATTATGGTTATCATGGGAAAGTGCCTCAGGCAAATTCAAGACCAAAGAAGAGTGGTGAGATAAAGGAGTTTAAATATTTTTTAATTTGCTTAGCATTTTTTCGAGGATCCTCTCATTCGGGAGAAATAACGAAGCGAAATCTCTCAAAAGACGCATCGAATACGCTGAATCTCAAATGTCGGAACACCTAGTATCTAACGAAGTTTGGGGGAAAGAAAGAAATAAGCTACTAACGCAATGTGATGGAATTCGGACTCATAACTCAGAGGTCTGGTCTGAACGCCCGCGGGTGAAAGGGATCACAGTCTACGATATAATAACGAAGGAATCTTTCCAAAAACAGGTTCCCAAGAGAGTGTTCATGCCAATGAATGAATTAATTCATCCTTTTGATAGAGACGCTCCTAAAGCAAAGGAAATGACAAAACTATGTGAGTATCTTGCTCTATACTACCGGGACATTTTGCTTCTCGTTTTCAGGAAGTAGGTGTTACAGATAAGCTATACTTGAAAACAATCACTGGAATAACACCAAAGTAAGACTGTCCTTGGTAGGCAGACTTGATCTGGATCGACCTATTACAATCGAAGAAGCGGAATAAGCCCTCAAGGCTATGTCGAAACGTAAGGCCCCTGAAGACAATGACTTACCTTCTGAATTGTATGGTGCTATATGAAAACTTTAAGAAGTGGAAAACCATCTAGTTGAGATCTACAATAACATTCTAACTGATGGTAATCTCTCCAATAGCATGTGCAAAGGTGTCATTTTCGTCCTATTAAAAAAAAAAGACAGACGTGAGATCATAAATTGCAGACCAATTTTTATCCTCTATGTATCTTATAAAGTGCTAGCAAAAATCTTAGCTAGGAGAGTAAGTAGATATCTGCCTGAGTTAGTAAAAGAAGATCAAGCAGCGTTCATTCGTGGTCGTTCGATATTTTTGATAATATTGTGACGGCTATCCTGTCCAGAATGATAACTCAAACATTGTTGTACTTTTATTGGATCTAGAGAAGGCATATGACCGGGTAAACTGGTCATATGTTCTCACAACAGTCAACGTAATGGGTTTTGGTCCGAATATCTTTAAATGGGTAGTGGCGTTATACACCTCATCTAAGGCGTCTGTGATGATTAACGAAAGAAGATTCAATGAATTTGCCTTGACACGATCCTTGCGTCAAGGCTGCCGACTGACACTGCTGATATTCGCCATTCAGATGGAGGTGTTGTTGAACAACATCAGATCTAACCCATTAATCAAAGGAATCCTTGTAGGACCAACTCAATGTAAGGTAAAAGCACTGGTGGACGACCTGTTTGCGGTCTCTGAAAACTCAGCAACATCGTTTACTGTACTTAAATCAAAGTTTTTCACATACTTTTCCTTATCTAAAGCCTCCGTTAACTAGCACAAATCGACCTTCTTCCTTCCTACTGATTTTCTACTAGACACAGAATGGGGTATGAAACGGATCATAAATATTAACCAATCGGAAAAATATCTAGGAGTTCAAATATCTCTCCTGGACTGCGCAGGCGACCAAGACGATCTCCTTCTTCAGAAATCTTTACACCGCCTGTCCACATGGGGTAAAGCGGTTCATCTCTCCCTCTTCAGTCAAGCGTTAGTCTTGAATGGAGCACTGTTTGCACTTCTACGGTTTGTAGCCACGGTTAGAGTCATTGGAAAATAAGTTTATGCTCCAAACCGCAGGCGTGCAGCCAAGTTCCTATGGAAGCCATATGCAGAAGAAAAAGAGACATTTCCCTCAAAAGTGGCATGGGAAATGCTATGTACTACTCGCGAAAACGGGGGTCTGGTATTCTTGATCCTCAACGCCAAAATGATGCAATGTTAGTAAAGTTGATTATCAAAGTCGTGAGCACTGTCTCCCAATCGCACTGGATCTACTTAACAGAGTACCTCCTAGCAAAAGAGTGGAACCTTTCCAGATCCGAAAACATTTCAAGTTGGACTTGTCTGATGTTGTTTTCGTACCAGGAGACAAGTCAAGTCTCCTTTTTCGCAAACTATTGTAAAATCGTGGAGAAAACTGAGACCAGATGTCTGGGTAGAGCCAAACACTAAGGCAGAAGTACTATCTCAACTGATTTAAAAAAAAACTCACATAAAATCTCAATATGGAGAATGGATTGAAGTTGTTTTTTCACCACACAGTTTCGGACGAATATGGATTGAGAGAGGTTACTTCGGATTGTTGATATGTGGGATGATCTGATAGATGACTGGGTCACTGCAACTGTACTCCGAGTCAGACAAAAATTGGGCCAATTGCGAAAAATTGAAGAGAAAAGGAATATGGTCATGGATGTCATCCCTGCTGCTTGGGTCAACATCCTATCCCCTTCAACGGTTGACCCACCAGGAACATGGTTTGTGAGTCTAAATACTGATGATCCTCTCATTTGGAAATTAATGGCCATACAATCTGGTGGAAAGCGCACATTTCAAGGTTGGCAAGTAAGATACGGTAGCTCCACACTCATACATGTAGAAGGTGTTGCTCTCCTGATAGGTACAATGTCATCCTTCAAACAGATAAGAGTGACAAAGTCTACAGACTCAAAAGGCAACATCTCGTGTTGTGTGTTTGCCCAAGGGAAACCAGTCACAACTCTGAAACTAATAGACCCGCATGCATGGGAATGGAGAGCAAAAGAGGAAAATGGAAAAAATCTTCGGTTGCTGGAATATACCCGGCAGATTGGATATAACATAATTATCCCAATGAAAAATCCACTGTCAATTTCAAGATGCAGATGGACCCCACTGTTCCCAGACTGTGACCCAACTCACCTATCAACACTGATATTGAGATGCTGGAAACAATTGAAGAACATTCCGAACCAGAGACATGCTGCAATACTCTGGTTGTTATCCCTAGCTGCCTCTCCAACCGCCATATGGCTAGTTCAACATGGTATGTCAATAAACACTATGCCTCTGGGTTGAATCTCTCTCTCATATGTGGTGGGACTGCCTAGATTCGAACATAATATGGGTGTGGTGGATAAGACATTGGGACAATATCTCCGACAAACTAGTCAAATGGGACAAATTCAGGGTCTTAAATTGGAGGAATACCAAAAGGGATGAGCTTGCTAGAAGGCTGGGGATACATCGCCCAAACTGTCAGAGCAGTGATCTGCGGAGTGATTTGGCATGGGAGGAATGATGCAGTGTTCAAAGAGAATGAGAGGACAAACAAACAGATTCGAGGGGAAGTCTTTCAAGGCATCAGAAGGTCCATCCTCGCAGATTGGAGAAGAAAGGTCCTCAAATCATACAATGTGGAAGCTGGCAAGATACGGTTTTTGAAGACATGGTGCCTAAATGGAACATTGGCCTCTATGGATAATCGAGACAAACTGGTTCTAGGAAATTGGTTATTCAGTGCCTAGTTGGAAGGAAGACATGGGTAATCATTTGATTACTTATAGATTGTTTTGTTTTATGTTGTTACCTCTATATGTCTTCTCTGTTCTACTTGTATTCCTGTTGCTGTGATTTACATGTCAATCTTTTAGGATGTACTGTTCTTTTCTCTTGCAAATTTTCAACATCAATAGTTTAGGATGTTGAGTTGGTGTCTGTTTCTGGCTTTTCAATTTTCATTTATGTTCGGATTAGCTGATAGTCTGTAGTGATAACTTGCACAGCCGGTTATGGTTTGGTCGTGGGAGACAGGCAGTTGGTGTAGATAGTGGAGGGAGTGTGATTTTGATACAAAGGGCTCCCTTTGGACTCCGACATTGAGATAGAATGAGATCCTTAGATGTAGAGTAGTGTAACAATGTAGAGTGGCTTGTAGCACAGTCCCAGGGTTTGAGGCTGAGTTGGAAAGGAATCTCAGAATAGCTGAGGAGAGGTAAATTTTCAGGGTTGTTTGGCTTTCTCAGGCCGTGAGGCGGTCTTTCTCTGGTTCGAGGTGATTTTGATTTGTGAGACTATTTTCAGGCCTGAGGTGAATTTCTTTTCCATAGGGTCAGCGCGACAGCGGTCTGGTTTTGGCCATTTGGCCATTTCTGTCGCAAGATTTTCACCCTGACTCCTAAATTTTGCCTTCTCCTTGGTGTGCATAATCAAATGAGCTGAGTCTTTTGTTAAAAAAATAAAAATAAAAAATAAAAAAATAAAAAAATAAAAAAAAGGAAGAAGAAAAGTTCCAATTTTTTTTTTTTTTTTGGGCCGGCCGGGCACATGGTCCCGGGCAGCTCTGGTAGCCTACATAGTTTCAACCGCGAAATAGATCGCGGCTACAGTTGAGCAATATTCCGGTTCTGCCATTTCTCTCTCTCTCTCTCTCTCTCATCTCTCTCTCTCTGTGCATTGTGGATGGCCGTTGGCCGTGAGCTGTGGTGGGATCGGTGAGGGTGGGCGTTTTTTTTTTTGTCTGGGGGTCTTGTTTTTGGTGACTGTTTGGGGCGGGCGGGTTTTTTTCGGGGGGGGTCGTTTTTGGGTGGCATGGCATTTCCGCGGGTGGCATTTCCGCCGTTCTGATCCCACGGATGAGCCCCGGCCAGGTAAGTATCCGGTCTTCTTCTTCTTGACCCTTCACGGCAGTTACGCATACATGGGCAGAGTGAGAGCTCTGAAGTCGTGTTTGGTGGACGGGGTTGGCCGTGAGCTGTGGTGAAGTGCACTGTCGTCGTGCATGCGTCGGACTATCGAGAACGCCTGAACGCTGCTTGAAGATGGCAGAGACAGGTCAGTGGTATCCCCCGCCTCCGCCCCCCGGTAACCTCCTCCATACCAACTCTGCCCTTCCTCCAGTGCTTCTCCCTCCTCCGCCGCTCCTCCCTCCTCCCTCCTCCGCCGCTTGTCCCTCCTTCTTCTCCCCGCTTCTACCCCCTGCCTCCGCCGGCGCTTCTCCCTCCTCTCTCTGCCAGCGCTTCTCTCTCCTCCCTGCTCCGGCGCTTCTCCCTCCTTCCTCCTCCGGTGCTTCTCTCTCCTCCCTCCTCCGCCGTTTCTCCC